GATGCGTTCGGCATTGACCAGGATCTTGGAGGAACTGCTGTCAAGCTTTGAGGTTTGCATCGAAGTACAAGTGATGCATAGTGATACGTGTATCGTATCGTCGTATCGTGTATGTTGGGATTAAACACTTATGGAGCTATGATCAGCTATGCCAATGCATCAAATTGAATTAACACAATTTACATAATTTAATACATACTATATTTGAACAACCCATGCTAATTATTCCATGACTTGGATTTCAGGGCCACAAGTCACGGGATGTCCAATGACTGCAGGACAACGGGCAAGTTGCCCATACTGACCTGCCTGGCAGAGGCTTCCGGCGACATTGCGAGAGAAGGGCATGTTACTGTTAGTTTGCAATCTTGCATGAGCAAGCGAACTAAGTGTTGAGACGTAAAGATACTATGAGGATACGACCATGAAGTCTTGTGCACTCCCGGAACATTTTCATGAATGTGTCAAGATTCAGATGCTCGTTTTGCCCATCTCCAGGACCCCGTTTGCGTCGTGCTTGGATCTCTGAGCGGACGGCAATCAAAGATGGGAGAGAGAGTGGGAGAGAGGCATTGCTGGAGGCGTGGAGTGAGCAGATGCAACACCAAGTGACCGTTTTCTTTGCTTTACTGATTCTCCTTGGCATCATCTTAAAGGCAGACGCACATAGACATTCCCCAAAGTACGATGATCATCAGAGTCTGGAAGACGATAAATATATCTAGCAAGTGGGGAGCTAGTGCACTGTGTGGAAGAGTACAGACCAGCAACAAGAGTAGTAGTAATATGTTTCACGAACTTGAGTGACAGGCCGTGCTCTCAGCCCATGAATCTCTTCTACGCTGCAGCCGAAGTCAAGGCAAGGTTTGTTCTGAGGGAACAACTAAGGACCACAACTTGTTTAACAGAATAAACATTCTTTTGGTGTAGGTCATTTTTCAAGGCCCAAGCAAAACTTCCAACCTTCTCTTTATCAGTTTTGCCACAATGAACAGCGGGTTCTGACCATATTGTACCTTCAAACCTGTTGTTTCCGTGCTCTTCCAGAAGTGCGAGGTATGCCGCTAGGTGTGCCTTTGGCGGATGCCTGGCTGCTCTCCCTGCTCCCACACTGCCAGACCTCCTGTGCCAAGCGCACTGCCTTACTCATGCTGGCGCACTTGGCAGAGGACCCACTGCGTGGTTTGGTGGGAGGAGCAAATCGGGACCTCATGGCAAGGGAGTCAACCAACTAAAAGTGCCGATTGGAGAGATGTCACAGGTTCAGATTCTTTTGCGCTGATTTCGCAAGCTTGCATGCTTTGTTCAGACTTGTCTCTTGTGGTCCATTAGTGTTGGCATCTTAGCAGGGTTGCTTACAAGGAAAGAGGTCACCAGTCACCGTGAACTAGTAGCAAGATTGGTCGGAAGATGCTTTCATACCACATCTATATGGAAGTCAAAAGAGCCATGTAGCTCAAGTAGGTTTTAGGTGCATTTTAGGGGCACGCTCGAAGACCTAAGTCCTCCAAAGTCATGATTTACAGCTGAAGACCTTTGAGGAAATGCCGGGAGACTTGCGGGCATTCCTTGCAGCAGATGGCCACGCAAGGGCATGCGTGTTGGAGCGGCTCAATGGCAAGACACAACACAAGCTTCCTGTTGTACGTTAGCCTATTATTTGCTACCACCCTTGGCAGCTTACAAAAGGCTAACTGCTCAATGCCAGGTTCCGCTTCACCCGGCAGATTCACGTTTGTCAACGTAGATGACACTGGACGAGCTTCCTTGCATTGCATGGTGTACTTGACCACTTTAACCGGTTTGAATTAAGACTGCGGTCCGGCTCACTCAACCCAGTCAGTTGAATACAGGGATTTGGCCTCAAACGTCGCTTGGCTTACCTGGCTCCAAATGCATCAGCAGCTTCAGGCTTGCGACTGTGGGCGCAGCCGCCGCGAATAAAGCGCAGCGGGAAGCAGATCCTCGCTTGAACAAAGATGAGAGTCATAGAGAGACAGAGAGAATCACGTGAGTTGGAGCTCAAAATGGTCTCAAAGTCGAGGGGCATGCAATGGCCTTGGTATGGAAGGGATCTCACCAGAACTTGGGAGGTTTTCAGGTTGAACGAGCATTTGTTACAGACGAGACACACGAGGATGAGAATTCAGTTTCCAGCAAGACGTATGCCTGCATCCAGGCAGAGAAGCTTCGGAAGGTTCTCTAATGAGATCAGGAAGATCACAGACTCCATCGTCACCGGAAGATCTTGATGAGACAGGCAGAGATGTGATCGGACCACCGGTGACGAGTTTTCACCATCGGGTCGGTGGCAGGTTGAGCCTTATTCTGGGTCGCTTCATTGATGTTCAGAAGTCAACGGTCTCCGTTCTTTGCCAGGGTTGAGCTCCATTATTTCCAAAAGTCGACCAAAAAAAAGAAGTCAACCAGTGACATCTTCGTCGAGACTGATCGGTGATCGACGTGGGTGTTTTGAAGATTCAGATCAGTCACTGGGGTTGGCTGATGTTGAGCAAAGAGAACCACAACCACTTGTTAATTTGCCCGATTTTGAGGACATGAGAAAGGCAGCCCGAAGTATCAAAAGCGATATCAGCCTTTGGAGCCTTTGCTCAGTGACATTGATGTTGATTTGCCCCAGGATCCTTTGGCAACATCTAGGCCTGGTGAGGCGGGGTCAGTGGCCAGTGTTTGTATGAGGAAGGTATCATGTCATCTCACTGGCTTAGAGTTGATGAGAACTGCCTTGGTATCATTCACAGCTTCAAGCAGTGATCCAAGTTGATATGCTGGAATCTAAAGACGGATCTGTAGTGGAAAAGGCGGAAAAGGATTCACAACGGCCCAAGGTAAGTCAACCTGATTCTAGATATGGTAACTTGCATAAGTCCTTTGATACATCACAGTGCCCTGTGACCTTGGACACGGTGGGACATCAAAGACGGATCATGAATTTATGCTGTTTGCATGCGTTTTCTTTGTGCATACATTGTCACGCATCGTATACATCACTGCAGTCTTTGGAGCAGACAACATTGTGTCAGACCAATTCGCATAGAGAGAAGCAATGCAGATCTTTGTCAAGACTTTGACTGGCAAGACCATCACGTTGGATGTGGAGGCTAGCGATACCATCGACAATGTCAAGGCCAAGATTCAGGACAAGGAGGGCATCCCGCCTGACCAGCAGAGGCTGATCTTCGCCGGAAAGCAGTTGGAGGACGGGCGGACTTTGTCGGATTACAACATCCAGAAGGAGTCTACTCTGCACTTGGTCCTGCGATTGCGAGGAGGCATGCAGATCTTTGTGAAAACCTTGACTGGCAAGACCATCACCTTGGATGTCGAGGCCAGCGACACCATCGACAATGTCAAGGCCAAGATTCAGGACAAGGAGGGAATCCCCCCTGATCAGCAGCGTTTGATCTTTGCTGGAAAGCAGTTGGAGGACGGCCGGACTTTGTCGGACTACAACATCCAGAAGGAGTCTACTCTGCACCTGGTCCTGCGATTGCGAGGAGGCATGCAAATCTTTGTGAAGACCTTGACTGGCAAGACCATCACCTTGGATGTCGAGGCCAGCGACACCATCGACAATGTCAAGGCCAAGATTCAGGACAAGGAGGGAATCCCCCCTGATCAGCAGCGTTTGATCTTCGCCGGAAAGCAGTTGGAGGACGGCCGGACTTTGTCGGACTACAACATCCAGAAGGAGTCTACCCTCCACTTGGTCCTGCGATTGCGTGGAGGGGGGAACCTTCAACTCTACTTGAAGACATTGACCGGCAAGACCCTGACGATTGATGTTCAGGAGAGTGATACCGTCGACGTTGTCAAAGCCAAGGTTCAGGAACTGGAAGGTATGCCAGTGGCCGAGCAGTGTTTGATTTTCGGAGGAGTCCAACTGGAGGACGGCCGTAACTTGGCAGAGTACAACTTCCAACGGGAGTCCATGAGGTGTGGACACCTGGTGCCTCGTTTAAAGGGATCCCCTGAAGCCTAAGAGCCAGGCGGAGCCTTGTGGAGCCTTGGCGGAGTAGGAGTGGAGCTGCCAAAGGCGCAAGCTGAGCAAACTTGCTTGCAGGTCGTGATGTGTCTTGAGATGAAGCTTGATTTGTGTTTTGAACGGACATGCATGTTTCAACATGTTTCAACATAATTGTTGAAGTGTCAAGTAACTGGCTCCTAACTTGATTGTTCACACAGATACCTCACCTGGCGGGTGACCAGCCCTGCTTCTAGCGGCATTGGATCCTACTCCCATGCGCGTGAATGCGCAACTGCTCGCATGAAAGCTTTGACATGCAAGTGAATCATGTACAGAGCCTCCACTGCAGTCACTGCATCATCTGCATCCTGCATGGCGCGAGCCCAAGAAAGTGCTTCATTGCTCCGCGCCGTGCCCTATCCGGTCACATTAGCCCGTGTATGCACCACAGGTAGTAGTAGGTGTTTTCCCGATCAAGGAGAGTTGCATTTCCACACTTCATTTGATGCAATCCGACCATGAATGGTCCACTGGCTTCCACATGTGTTGTCAGTGAAGTGAAGATTCCGATCATGCCGACTTGATGTCTTTCTTGCCCATCCAGGGTCTTTCAACGTTTGAGTCGATGCGAGACCTTGTGTTGCCGCACCCCTGCAGGAATCTGTGACATTAAGATTCAGATGATCTACAACGAGAGCAACTTCTTCAGGTTCTGAGTGATGCAAGATGAGGTCCAACATGGTCCAACGAATATGTGCAGGACAGCTCCGTTGGTGCATCGTCAGCAGGTCATAGAGAGGACCAGGCGCCAAGTGAATCTTGCTGCGCGTGCTTCCGCGGAGCGAAGAACATGAAGAGACAAAAAGGATAATGCAGAAATCCATTAGCCATGCACTTGTGCCTAGTCTTGCGGATATGCAGAAATCATGTGCAGAGAAATCCATGTTGCGCTGCGACATGTTTCGCTGCCTCGACCACTGCTTTTGCGGCGGGTTTTCAGCTTGAAGCTGAGGACGGGACCCTCACGCAGCTCTTTGCCTTCTTTATCGAACGTTGTCGAGCGATGGCGCGGATGTGGGATGGGCGGTCAAATTTTTGTCCGTAATCCTTCATGATTCTTCGGTTGAAATCTGCTGAATCCGTTGAAAACCGTGCCCGCCCTTTTCATCCTTGTCAGGTGGGCTGTGTCGTGTGCTTTTCGCCCATTGGAGACAATTGGCGCACCCGGCTGCGACAGCGCCCTGGTTGCACTACGAGGGAAACGCTGGTGGTGAGTGACACCAATAAGATGCTGAAGTCAAGCTTCATGCCTTCACCCTTTGATAAGTCATGACGTAGGTGTTCAATGTATTCTTTTCTTTTAGCTTTCCCGCCACCCCTTTTTATTGTTGCAATGTCGACGCGATGTTGCCTTAGACCGTTTTTTGCACACAATTTTTGGCAATGCAAATGGATCATGTTCATTACCCATTGTTCAGAACATTGGGGATTTCAAATTTGCAGGATTCATCAGGTCCACACAAATCAACACATGCATGACTGATGCCGACTGATGCCTGCTTGGATCTACTGCGGAGTTAATTTCACCAGGTTTCCTTCGTTGGTGAACTGCTGTACCATCGACTGGTACACCGCTCGGAGACCCAGAGATTTGCAACAAAAAAACATGACACATCAGACATGTATGATGAGATATGATGAGAAAGTCTGAGTGAAAGGGACGGTGGTTTTCTATGCTTTAAAGTTAACTTGAAAGAGTAGATACGAACTCCACAGAGGTCCAAACAGCTCGGCGTGCCTATTCGCACAAAATCGATTTGCGCAGCTCAAAAATACCGCGTGCTGGGTCTGGAACCGCGTGGAGGCATGGCCACCTGATGCTCTCATGGCGGTGGCCACCAAATTCCTGGAAGCCATCCCAGATCTGGACAATGAGGTCAGTCTGAGAGCTCATTGATGCTGGCCACGGCACTGGATTCGAAGTGCGGTAAGATTCGGTTGGAAGCTGATGTTGAATCTGACGGAACTTTGAAGCCAACCCTGCGGGTCAAAGTTCTTTCTTCAATTTGAGCTGATGGGGGGTACGATGGATAGACCATGCCAATAGACACCGGATGACACCGGCCTATAGTGTCCACAAGAACCCATCGGATCATTTTTGTTAATTATTTGAGCATCTTTGATGTGTTCAAGCTCCCGATCCTTTGGTATTCCCAACTGTCTACGACCAAGGTCAGCAAGGCTGTAAGGTCAGCAAGGCTGTAAGGTCAGCAAGGCTGTCCTCCCAGCTGAGACTGATACGACTGATGAACCCGGTACACTCTCTTGGGAATTGGGAGGGTCCCTCCTTCTTCGCCAGGTGCGACAAAACTGCGTGGAAATGTGCCAGTGAGGGGCTCAAGATGGCTCAATTCATTCAGAATGACATGGAGAGTTGAGAGTCACGAGGTGTAGAGTCTAGAGACAATTGATTGTCCAGAGACCTTTCGGGACCCCACGATTTCGATCGGGCTGACATGCAGTGAGGGCAGCCAAACGACAGGGACTGGGGGATGGTTTTCTAGAAATCCATATCCCTTTTCAGGCCCTGTACTGTACTTTCGGCACCACACCAAGGCAACAAGGGTATCGAGATGCGAACAACTCCATCGGCTGAGAACACCCCCCCCCTACAAGCACCGAACTTGACGTATCCATTCTTCCAAATGCCGTTCGTCCGTTCGGCTCCACGCAGTCCACACCCGAAGTGTTCAGGTACTTCCACCTGTCCTCGAAGAAGCTGGCCGTCCGCTTTGAAGATGAACTGAAACGCTGGGGTTCCCTGGAAGATCTCTGACCGTTTCTTCAGTCCGCACGGTGCTATGCCCGGTAGTGAGCAAACACTGGTGCGTTTTGGCGTGCAAGGCATTTATTACTCGACGCCAACTTCTTTCTTGGAGCTGATTCAAACCTTTAAGGTGCCTTGCCGCTATGTCATGTGGTTCTTGAACATAGTTGGCACGGCTCAGCTTGGGCACACCCCCAAGCCCATAACACTTCAATCAAAACAAGTTGGTACCCGGGCCGTATTGTTTGAGCATGTTTGAGCCTATGCCTTTTTCCCTGAGTCATCATCACGTATTGCTTTACATTGTGCTGGCTGCCGTTGCTCTGCCCCAACCTACGCTTTGTGCAGTCTCTTCTGGGGGAGAAGCGCGATTCTATCAGCAGCTTGAAATCAAAGTACGAGGCGGGACACAGATGCACTCAACAGGCTTGCCATTCCCGCTAGCTATGCAAACTGTGTTGTGGGGAACCCCTACCAAATCGAGCCGGTGCACTGCACAGCACTGCCAGGTTGGCCTGGAGAAGCTGACGACCACCGAGCAATCGGTGGAAGGAATGAAGCAGGAGGGGAGCTCTCAGGGATGCCTCAGGTATGCTATGGATTGCCCGGGCATGTGACATCAAAGTGTAGATCAATGTGTTTATGCTTGACAATCTTGACATGGAATGACATACAATGGCTAGGTAGGACACGCACTTAGCAGCGGAAGCTGACCCAACCCATAATTGCCCAGATTTTCACACTCTCGACCTCTCAGAAGCTCAATGCGGAAAGCAACACAGGAGCTGATAGCACTTCAACCCAAGTTGGTGGAGAAGAACAAAGAGGCCATGGTGACATGCATGGCAATGCTACCTTCAGAACCATTTGCTTTGCTTCCCTGCAGGTTGGAGAGATGATGATCGTGGTGAATGAGGCCGCTAGTGCGTGGTCGACTTCAAAGTCTGATTAAATGTGGCGACCATTCAACGACCATTGAATTATGATTGAGCGGTCCACCATGGTTCAACCAGCTTCCATTTTTAAAGGATTTAGGATATTTAGGGATCCACTGGGAGCTTCAGCGTGGCCACGGTGGTAGACGGTCGTCGATTCAGGAAAGTGCCAAGACAGAGAAGGTCAAAGAGGCTAGCACCGTCAGACACGACTGCTAGAGGTGACCGATTTGTTTTTACCGAATCAGCGAATCGGTTCAAAAGAAAGTTGAACAGTTAATTTAATGTAGGTCTTGCATGGCCTTGCTATGTCTTGTGCGTATTTTTTTTGCTAAACGATTACTTGAGCAGTAAGTATGGCTGCCCGCGATCTAGCAACGATGCTGAATGGATCCTAATGGGAATCAGACCAGTAGTCGAGTAGCATTGAATGGACAGCTTGTTTCTTGACTTTGCTCCATTTCTGCAAGTTTAAAGCTCGCATGGACTCTGAGGTTGTGGCTGCAGATGAGGCTGTTGCCAGCAAGGCTGCAGCTGAAGCTGACGGCATCAAGAAGGACACTGATTCGCCGTTTGTTTCAGTATTGTGTAGTCACGTCTCAAGAACTCAGAATTCTGTGCGCTAATAGCATCATCCACAAGCAACTCAGGTAACATTATATAGTTAGCAATGTCATTGGAGGCGCGATTGTTAAAACACAATGTTTGGATTAGGTGCGGATGGACATGGGTACGCTTTGAGATACACTCACCAAATTGTGATAGCCGCTAAACGGTCACCCAAACTTCCATGTCCATTCGGCAAACAGTTGTGTAACTTTAAGCATCTCTCACAATATCAGAACGCCCACCGATTAAGGCCTGCATGCCTGCTCTTCCTTTAGATTCATGCCATCGCAGGAGTGCGAAGAGGCCTTGGCTGAAGCAATGTCGTGGCCTAAGAGTACATTGCGTCGTTTTGGTGTCGACCTGATTTCAAGAACATAAAAAGTGAGGGATAGTGAAGGAGAAACTATGTCGGATCTGGAGCTCAACATCACCTGGACATCATATCCTCCCAGATTGACTCTAGACTCGGCGTCCTCGTCCAGGCCTGCCTTGAACGAAGCGCTGAAGGCCTTAGATACGCTTTCCAGCAAAGAAATCGCAGAGGTGAAGGCACTGATGCCGCGGTCTTCGACTCGTCCCGCCTCTGACCTTGGTCTGCGCGGGCGTCGTAAGCGAGCGGTTGGAGGGCGAGGGAGGTGCTGAGGGAGATGCAAAAGGAACTCCTGGAAGGGAAGGACTGGAGTAACTTCTTTTTTGTTTTTTACATTTCTTTGGATAGATACTGTAATATCAATGAATGAGAATGCAACTACATGTTCTTTGAATTAACGAACAGATTATGAGATTTTCCTGGCAAGCAATGGAGGAATGTAGACCCATCCTCGTCCAACAGCTCAGTGGTTTGCAATTCAGCCAGGCCATGAAGAATCCGGCGGCACCAGTACGACTCGTGCTCTCAGCTGTTTGCGTTCTTCGGAATGTCACTGTCCCAGGGTGAAGCAGGCTTAGCTTTCTACGGATGTGCTACGGGTTGGTACGGGGTGGGCAGGAGTCACCCATGTCAATGCTGACAATTACACGGGGCCCAGAGCGCCATCCCCAAAACGAGCGCCAGTTGCCAGTTGCTGCTTTGTGAGAGAGAGATGAGAAATCTGTAGGGAAGGAAGATGAAGGAGCTTTTGCGCCCGCCAACATGCATGCCTATGACTCGTACGAGCGAAACGACCCTGAGGTGAAGCCTGTGAGGGTGAAAGACGAGAGTGGCAAAATGGTTTGGAGCTCAGCGGCTGGGGGAGATTGCAGATAGCGCGGCTGACATTCTGATGCTTGTTCAATTCTTTGGTCTCTTTTTGTTGGTGGCACCATTTAAAAACAACTTTCCTGAACGAAGACAGCCTGTATTTGGGTGCGTTTCTCTCCTTGGCTTGCTAAGGTGGATGACTTCTGGCCAGCTGCTGTAAAGATGATCTCTGACATGGGCTTTCTGCAATCTTTGCCACTTGGCACAAACACCATTCTTCCTGTGACGCCTGTGGAGAGCAGCAGTCACCAGGTGAACATACGTACCATGGACCTGGATGTATATGTCATATGTGAGAAGACACAGTCAAAGATTGACATTGTCACGTCGAGAGGAGTGAGATAAACATCAAACGTTGGCCACGATTTTGGAAATGCTGAGGCAAACCTTCGATAAAGACAACATCCCACCTGCCACCATCAAAAAGATCGCGGAGTATACGGTGAAGGAGGACTTTCAACCAGATCGAGTCACGGCCTCAGGATTTGCGCGGATATGCCAATGGAATATTTGCTTTGCTGAGGTCCAGAAGTCTTCGACGGCTGCTTGGGGTTTCGCTGTCTGCTTTACTCCATGCTGTTTGGGATGCCTTCCTTTAAATATCGTTTTGTGAAGCTAATTCATCGGTGGAAGACCTTTGACGGGAACTTGTCATGACAGGTCTTTGCATGTGGGTCCGTGCCATGGAGACCTACGATCGGGTGGCCAAGGCGACGGGCGACGCTCGATCGGTGGACAACGTTGTTCCGGAAACGACAGGTCTCCTGGCAGAGATGCGATTGATTATTGCTGCCGTGCAACTAGAGTCTTTGAGCATCTTTGAGCCATGTCCGGATCCGCATATCAGAATATCTCAGTCATTCTCAGAGGGGGAGAGAATCCCCGAAGCAAAAGCGTGACAATGCTCACTTCTGAAACATTTGGGCCTGGCCTGACTGAAATCATGTCATTAGTTTGAAGCAGCCCGTGGCCTTGTTCAGGTTGTAGCGCCAAAGAAAGACAGCCTGGCTGAAGCAGAAGCAGCCTACCAGGGAGTGATGGGAAAGCTGCAGGAGAAGCGTCAGGTCCTTGGCTTGTTCAAATCCAAAGATCGAGACCATCCTTACTGCCCGGCTGTTGACGCGCTCTCGCTGGGCTTCGACTGGGAGCTATTGTGAGTTACTTTCGTGTATGTGCGTTTTTGCGCTTGCATTCTAGCCAACCATTTGCTTCAAAATCATGGGTGATTGGCAAGTGCAACGAATCGTTGCACAGAAATGGACCCTTTAAGCACAGGGTTTTGGCACCGCCGACGACGAGCTTGAAGGGTTTGGATATGGTTACTTTCCAGTGTTCTGTGTTCACCCTAAAAAGACTGACCCACAGTCATGAGTCATAGTCCATCCATGGTTGGTTTTAGGTCCTACATCACAACATCTCCATTGTCCTATTGTGTTGCAAGTTTCTTCCTTCAGGGGTCTTCATCCCAGCCATCCTCAGTACCCTCCAAAAAGGCGCTTTCCGCGCTCGCGCTTTGAGGCGCCGAGCTGCAGAAGGTCATGGATGAGCTCACCGCCTTGAACGAGAAGCTCTCCTCATTGAGGTGGATTGGAGTTGGGAATCCAGATGGAGCATGGCAATGTCTCTATGATGGGGAAGCTGCCAGGGGCAGTGTAATTATGGGGTGAAGTTGGGTCGGCTCCCACCATATTGGGCTCTGTCAAGAGAATCAGTTCAATGCAGTTCCACAATTTTGAACGCAGGCATCGCTATGCATCGCTGCATCGCTATGCATCGCTGCATCGCTATTCCCTGCAGAAGGTTTTTTAGTTGGTCATTTCGCAATCCCTGTCGCCACTTGTCATCTCCTGCAGGCAGGAACAGGATAACCTGACCAACGAAGTGGACTTGTGCCAGAAGAAGCTCGAGAGAGCCAGGACCACAGCAGGAGCGTTCCGATGTGTTGGCAGACGAAACACGACATGAGTTTCAGCCTTCAGGGCAAAGAACCATGGACAACCCTTGGAGCAGAGTCATGCAAAGACTTCAAACATTTGAAGATAGATTGGTCGTGAGTTGGGACAGTTCTTTTGTTTCATCAACATCCATCATCAATCATCTGCACTGCTAGACATTTTCACCAACAGCATCCACCCAAAGAAGAGCAAACAGAAAACCAAAAAACATTGGCTAACAAGAATAACCACCGCCGCTGGACCTTTTTCCACGACATCCAACAAGCCATCATCCCACACCTGGTTGACATCCACCACTGGGGACAACCATGTTGCACCCTTTCCCAGTTTCCTTATCGACCTCCGAGTATAGCCCCTAGTAGCGTCCTTGCTCCTAGTAGCGATGGCGATGCCAGGAGTCCCGAGTAGCTTCTTGTTCCTAGTAGCGTCCTTATGATCCCCAAGGCCGAGACGTTGATTACCTCCCTGGGCGGTGAGAAGACTCGCTGGACGCAGAACGCCATCGACTTGGCGGTACGGAGCCCTAGCGTCAACCGACCATTCGTGGAGGTGAAGAATGGTGAAGACACGGGACCTCGGATGACCTCGGTGGGTCACAGGGCTTGTGGATGGTGGTTTGATGTTGATGTGCTTTTGGTGGTGATAGTGACACATAATATGACTTCAGACATACGCCCTACCTTATGAACTTATTTGGAGGTGGGAGTGACTTAGTGAAATAACTTAACTAAACGTATTACGTACTTGGCAAGCCATGTAGGTGGTGGTTAAAAACAAACAAACATTAACTAAAACTGTCAAGGTGGTGCATGTCTTTCATTTTGATATTATTTCTACATAATTTTGAGTCTATGGGGACCCACATAAACAGCATTATTTCTAAATGATTTCGAGTTATATATTGAGAGCAGTGAGCTGACTTTTGAGGCAATTCCTCGTGAGCGGTTGTTTCTCTGCCCGAAGGAAACAGGAGAACAGGAAAAGAGCTTGGGTAAAAAAAGGCACACATAGTCGTTGGAAAAGTGGGAAAGGCGGAAGGAAAGGAGCATGGCCACCAAACCCATATAGATAAATTAATTGAGGGGTGGGTGACTACACAGCCACCCATTAAATGCGCCTCAACAGGAGAAAAAAGGTGGAAAAGGGCAGAGAACAAACAGGAAGGACACCAGGGAAAAAGGAAAAGCGATTGCTAAAATATTGCGCACATAGTTGGAGATGTCAACAGACAGCTGGGTACTGAAACCGGTGTTTGCTTGTGAGAAAATTGCGCCTTTTTGGCTGTTGGAACTTGGAACCGTAGATTACTTGCTAAGCTTCTTGTTACTAGTAGTAAGAATGCTCCTAGTAGCGAACATTGCTACCAAGGTGGTTGACTACTCAACTACTTATTATGACACTGTCACCCACCGTACCACCCACCTCAAAAACATATTCTCTTATTTTGAGGTGGATGGAGATAGCCGCATGAAACTATTTCTAGACTCACACTGTGAAATAATGTACAGGTTTTCATAAGAATTTCCAACATAGGTCTGACATGAGACCACCTAGGTGGGACAACTGTAAGTCGGCCAGGCAGCGAGGATCCAGAATAGGCATCAACATTCCTAAGCCTACAGTAAATGGTCCCCACAAAATAGACATTGACACATAGAGTAGAGGTTGTTCTCCCCTGAATCTATGTACTTTAAGCTTTGATAAATTCGCATTTCCCCAGGTGGTGTATCCATAATCTTGTTGATTCTTCAAAACCTTGCCTAAAGCACCCCAGCGCTGATGCACGTGCAGCTAGGATTACTTGTTGTGCCCATCTAAAACTATCCAGCCGAAACTGGTTTCACACATGGATAGAGCAGTCAGCGCGCGCGCGCGTGATGGTCGTCATGGTCGTCGCCAGGCCGATTATGTGAATCTCACCGGTGACGTGCTCCCGACGTGTTTTTGTGCTGGTTGGACGACGTCAGCTTCGCACTTGACTCTGGTGGAGGGAGGACGTTTGGACTTACTACTCCCGAAAACCAGTTTACAGGCTTTTCTTTGGACACTTTTATATATTTGGGAAACAAGTTGTGATTGAACATATTCCAAAGGAAGTCAATAGGAATCCACAAAGGGCCGTCGCCGCCAAGCCCTAGCATCTATCAAACTGCCAGTGAACTTTGGATGTCTGATACGTTGGAGAGGATAATCATATAAAGAGCTGTTGTCATCCACATCAGTTTTTGGGTTATGGAGGCGTGCATGCTGCATTGGGCATCCAGCTGCGGCACAATTCTGTGCTAGTCCGGTTATGTCCATGAACTCATAACCTCCACCACTTTGGATCATCTTGGCACAAAGCAATCCTTCGTAGCGATTCTGTCGTCACTGTCAGGACAGTTACACCAAAATCACCATGGTTCGTAATTGATAGTTGATTCTTTTTAGTAACCAACCCCCCTAATCAATCCAGTGGAATCCTGAAGTCTAAACATGCCAAGGACTTTCTGTTGGAGTTTCCAAGTGCGTTTAGGCGGCCGTAACATGGTTTGGCAGCTGCTGGTATTGGGCAGTGGAAACTACAGCGATGAGGTCGGTGCGCTGCCAGGAGCAATTGCAGATGCAAAAGCATTTGCGGCGAAGATTGGAGGCAGCGAGTTGTGCGACTCTCCTCCAGCAGCATTGCTAGACCTCACTGCAGCTGCTCACTATCAACACATCGATGCTTGGATCGAGGCACCAGACGAGCAGAAGATGTTGTATTGTGCAGGGCATGGCTGCAGGTGCGGAGGCATTTTTTTGCAGCTAAGCCTTGCTGAATAGTACATGTTTGTCACATTTGGCCCTGTGTTCTCCTTGGTCTTGTGGCCTGCGGTGCCAAATCTGGACCTGCATAGGAACAAAAGAAGGTAACAAAGGTATCAAACGAAGCGACCTGGTTGCAGGTATGTCCAACCTACAACCTACCCAACATTCATGACATGCTTTGTTTTATTCCCTGTTCCCTATGCCAAGTTTCGAATCATTCTTTTGGGATGTGAAGATTGTAGGCTTCAGCATACTCAGCCAGCTAGCCTGTCTCAGGCCTGGAGACCATCGACGGCCAACTGATTCCTATCCAGAACTACATCAGAAAGAAAGTTGACGCAGTGAACAAACAAGGCATCACTGTAGCCTGCTTTTTCGCTACCTGCCAAGGCCAACATACCGGTCAGCTACCTGAAGACAAGATTGGTCAAGAGTTGGAGCACACCTTCGCAGGTGGCGACAACTTGTTTGCATTTGCCTACAACTGCGAGCCTGGGAAGCTGGTGCTGGACTACAGCAATATGTATACAAAAATCCTAATTGGTCTCCTGCTTGAGGGTGGCGAAGATGTACAAGGAGCCTGTACCTCGTTGCAGGAGGTCCTGGAGGATTTACCTGACAAGGTATTCCAAGTGTCAGCTCACATGGAACGTCCTTGGAATGAGAGTAACCTGGGCAGGGGCTCTCGTGCTGTCCTTTGGAAGGAGTTGTGTTCTTTGTCACCAACCCCTTCCTCAACTGCGGAGGCTCAGGAAGCTGTCCTGGCTCTGGAGGTGCCTGTGCCTGCAGTTTGCCGAGACTGGGAGGGAACGATGACATTGTGGAAAGACAGGTTCGTGCACGAAGACGGTGGCGTAGGAGCCATGTTGACTCTGTCCGTAGGGTTTGTGGAGGCATTGAGCAACTTCAAATTACGCCACAGTGATGCCACGGACTGGGAGTTCTTGCTTGTCCTGCCAAGTCACATGGCCCTCATCAAAGAATACTTGTGTAGGCTGGGCCTTCGTTTTCCTGAGCGAGCATCCGCTTGGGCAGATGCCTTGCAACAAATCCTGTTGTCAGCTGATGATGAGCAAGCCAAGGCAATTTACATGATTCTTGCTCGGTACGCAACCAACGTCTACAATCTTCAGCTCAAGCGGATGGTTGATCACGAAGTCGGGCTGGATCATGAGGTTCTGCTGCGAGTTGAGCGATGCCTGAGCGTGGCTGCGAACGGCTTGGTGCAGCAATGCATGCACACAAACAAGATTACTCAAAATGTTCTCGCCACACTTCACTGCTGGGCAGTAGCACACAGATGGCTCGGGAACCATAGCAAGTGCAATGAAATTCTTGTTGATATGTTCCGGCCTTTGCTGCAGCGTGCAGCGGAAGATGTTCAGACGTTTTGGCTGGCTCGACGGGCCGAAGCGCAAAATTACCGATTTCTGCGCAGTTTGCGATCAAATAATGTGTCGCTGCCCGTTTCTGATGGCGACGTGGGCCCTTTCCTATATGACGCTACTCGATGGTACTTCGGGTCGCTGCTGGGACAGGTCTCCAACACAGACTTTGCATTTCACATGGAGTTGAATGAGTTGCTGACGTGGCAACCGCATGAAGGGAAGCTGTGTACACCCTGCATACCCTTGTGCCATTGTGCGTACAGATCCATGCTTGTTCGAACAGTATCCTCACATTACCGTGTAGTGCCGCGTGAGCTTGGCACGCTGTGCTTTCCCTGGGCGAGAGCTTGGATGCTTGTTTGTCAAGGCAACTCAGGCAGCTTGGTCTGGCAGACATCCCGCCACAGGAGGATCGGCAAACAGGTGCCGGAAGGTGTTGAGTCAGCATCCGATTTGGTTGTATATGCAGCCAAAGCCGGCCAGGTGGTGCTCTTGCAGAGGATGCTTTGACAGTTGTTCTTTGCGACATGTGAAGGTCAACAGCGAGTAATTAGCAGCGGCATGCTTCATAGCAATGCGATGAATTGCGCGTGGTGTATCCTGTGTGCAAAAAAATTAACATCGTTTGGCCTCCAGTTTGCCTTCCTGTCCTTCACACTCGCCGGAACACTCGTCATGTTCCTCAAATGTGAGCTGTAAAGACTCAGAATACCATTTGGCCAAAACAAAAAGTGGCTTTGAGATGACTTCTAGCTGCTAGCTTTGGGTCGACTTGATTCGCCCATTTACCTCCAAACCCGCCCTTTCGCCGCTTGCATGTCCGTGGCAGGTCATCGTGGCCAGCGGCTTGATTGCATACCTGGGTGCCTTCACGCCGGACTTCCGCGAGAGTGCCGTGAGGCGAGCGGGGAGATTTGCTTGAAGGATGCCCCCCCAAGGATGGCTGAGTCAACTGTTGAATTGTGTCCTCCACAAAGAGAAATGAGCGAATTGGACCTTCTACCAGGAAAGAAACACAGGGCTAATCGATGCCAGAACGATGATGCTTTTCCATGCCAGATGAGAAGTTTGCGTCCATGACGTGACAACATCTATATAATCCCTTCAGAAGTACAGGTCCACATCAGCACCGAACCCCCCGCCCTTGGGCCATGCCGTTTGGGTCACAACGTCCGCTTCTTCATGGGGCGCAGCGGTCAGGGTCACCGGTTCGCGTCGTCACCGGCCAGGGAGTGGGCGGGAGAGTCCCGGGAGCGTGCGATCCCGGGCTCTGAGAAGTTCAGTTTGGAGCACTGTTTGGGTGAGCCAGTGAAGGCAGGGCGTGGGAGTGAAGGCAGGGCGTGGGAGTGAATGTGCAAGGTGTATCAAGGCACCGTTTGCGTAAGTCCTACGTTTGGGGGGTCTTGAGGCAGAACGCGATTCCACAGTTTGGCATGGGAAGTCACTGCTTTGTGCGGACAGGTGGGAAGCGACGGTTCAGTTGTCTCAATGTAGTATATAGATAAGCTGGACATGTCCACCCCAAATAAGTCAACATGTTCAATTGCCCCCCCTCTCCCTTGGAGCTAATATACCTGCTCAGTTTCATCACATTATGTTAGTCAGATTCTATTGTGGCTGTCACCACTCAGAGGTTGGTCTAGATTTGCCTATGACAGTCCTATTGACAGATGGTCGAGCAATGGACATCAATGGACCTTGGCAATGAAAGGCCCGCTTCCCACTCTTGAGTAACTCAGACCAGATGCCATCGTCACTCCAAGTGACCAAGGTTTTGGCTTGGCATTTTGCAGGTCCGTGCCTGGGTCGTGGCTGGCTTGCCCAACGATTCCTTCAGCATCGAGAATGGCATCATCATGGACAAGGCCCGTTTAAACCGTTTATAGGGGGCATCGCTTGCATTGGCAGGTTTCTCAAAGCTTGGAATCTCCGAAGAAACGGCTTCATGGCATTATGTCAATACGTCAACACCCTAAAGGTTCTATGTGCCAATGTTCAAAGTTCCACGTTCAGTGGCCTTCGTGATTGCAAGACCTTTCTTTTTCTGTCCCGTGGTTCACAGGCGCGACGGTGGGAGTGCTCAGATGTGCTTTTTTTTGCAGAGTCGTAGTTTGGCTCAGCTTGAAAGCGGGCGTGAGGTGATAGAGGGTGATGGTCATGGTAATTACAATTTAGATTCTTATTGTTGCTAGTAGTAAGGCACTTGTTTCTAGTAGCTTCTTGTTACTACTAGTAAGGCACTTGTTCCTAGTAGCGATGCACTTGTTACTAGCTGGTCATGGCGCTGGTCACACCCCCACGGTGTCGACATGGAACGAGGAACGAGGGTCCGACTCCTTGGGGGATTTCAGGTCCAAGGTCCATCATCTAATGAACCTAGTGGAAGCTGGTACTGGTTCGAAGCTCATTTAGCATATAGTGAAGCTGTACTGTGAAGCTGTAGTTGTTTTTTTATTGTAGTTAATCCTTGAGTTCCGGCGTTCCCACATGGACCGCATGGAGCAGTCGAGTCGAATTCGTGGGCCTCGACACTTCGACCACCTCAGGTGGCCTTTGTGCATCGACCCACAAGGGCAGGCGAATCGGTGGATCAAGAAGCCGCCCTGCCATGTCTTTCTCCCGGAAGGCCGAAGCTCGGCCTTTTGGATGGTGTTGGGTCATGGTGCTGCCTGTGCTAAGCTGAGAAAGCTGATGGCCAGGATGGGTCAACCCCTTCAGCTCGTGGTGGCCAAGTTCACTGATGGAGACTACCTGAAGCGCCTGGAAGGCGGGATTGAAGAAATATGAAGACATCGGATTTGAATGAAACTTCAAAGACATACTAGAAAGCTTCTTGCTACTAGTAGCGATGGCCTCCACCTAATAGCGTCCTTGCTACTAGTAACTTCTTGTTACTATAGTAGGATTTAACAGGTGTCTGAAGGTTTTGGGGTATTTCAGAAGATCTTTGGTCCCATTCAGTTTCTGCCAAGCTCCAGGTTGCATCCAGTTTGGGAACCCCATGTTGATCGAGAACGTGCAAGAGGAGTGAGATCGATGATGAAATCGATCATGAGATCGATCGATCTGGCAAGGGGATGCTCATGAGTATGTTCATGCATTCTACTGGTACTTCCAGATTCTCCATTGTCGGCCCCAACCAGCAGAACATCATTAGACCTTCGACATTGGAGCCGCAAAAGGACGGACCTGAAGGGTACTCATTGTTGGGTGAAGCGCACTTGTTCAAAAAACACAACTTCTTGCCAAGCTGTTTTCAAATGGTACCATGTGTTCTCCGCTTTGGTGTCCCATGTTGCTGTTGGTTCAGTGGAAAACTGAAAACGGAGCCAGGAGACGGATCCGGCCGTGGAACCAGTGCTGCTCCGGCAGACCTTCAAGAAGGGAAGTGCGCACCGACCTTGGCGGAAGGAGATGGCCGAGTTTAAGATTCTTTAACATAATATGTTTAGATTTAAGATGATTTAACCTGATATTTTATATATCAAATACAACAAGGGTATTGTGAGGCAATGGATGGTCAATGGGTCTGTGTGCAAGACTTGGATCCCCCGATCCCCCCCATAGCGTTTTTCTGGTTTCGGGCTTGAAAACCATGTTTGTCCCATTTTATCACATGTTTGTCAGGGTGGTGACAGTGGTGAATACATTTGGGTGGCCGCAACTGGTCGGCCTGGGATTTGAGCCAAGTGTATTACCTGAGCGGACTGGACAAGAATCTGTGTGTCAAAGATAAGCAAGGATTCTTGCGGTGGGTGTGAATTTTCAAAGGCTGACCCCTGAATGGTTTGCAATGTTTTGCAACAACTGCTGGATGCAAAGGACATGTACTTCTTTGCAAGTCTTTGCTTAAAGCCATCAGAATTTGCCACATGTGGCCCTGGGGATCGACCTTGGACCGAAGGCCGAAGGGTTGTGGTTTCGATGCCGAACATCGTATCGGCAGATCTCCGCTCAGGATTATGATCCGGCTTGGTGAGGCCGGATGGGCCGGCGTTTGGCGGGAGTGGAAGCACGAGCGGTTCCAGTCGAAGTTTGGCAGAAAAGCAACAGGAAAGATATGAATTGAGATATGACACATCAAGTAATATTAATATAATACTTACAGTATTATAGTTGGGAGTTATCCAAAAGGTCCTTGTAAGGGTTTTTAATGTCGAGAGCCTTGGATGACATGATCGTGGGTCTCGCGAAAGTTCTTTTTCGAGTTCGCGAATGTTAATGTTTTTTTTTCGCGAAAGATTCGCGAAAGTATGAATTTTTATTGTATGTTCTTTGGCGAGCCTTCAGGCTTGCCCCATGCATTACCACATCCTTTTCTGACCGTCAGCAGCTTCAACTTTGGAATCCGTGTGAAGCTTCCTTCCTGTTTCATGTAGTCCACCCTATGTTATGTATGCCGTAAAAACCTCCAAAGCACAGGGATTATTTCGCGAAAGTTTCGCGAAAGTCTGGCGAAGGTTTCGGCGAATGAATCGGCTCCAGAGGAACCCCGTAGCCCATAGCAACCCCACAAACTGTATTTAGAAATCGAGTCCCTACCAGGTTAAATGGTTTCATGACATGGTGAACCCCCGCGAAAGAAAAACACGGGGTTCGCGAAAGTTTCGCGAATGTTAATGTTTTTTTTCGCGAAGAATGGCCGTTTCAATAAACAAGAATATTGGACAACCACCAGTTATATAAATAGTATTCCCAGCTTCTCTTTTTTAAAAACAAGCGCCGCCAGTCGACCATTGAATGGTCCAAGAGCTTCAAGTTCTATTTGACCACCAAGCTGCGGAACCCTCACTACCTGCCGGAGGTGCTGTGCTGACCACCGAGAGAGACATGAGAGACGGAAGTGTGGAGGAATTGTTCCAGGGTTGATCGAACCTCAACCGGATGGGCCTAGGGTAGGTATTTCCTTATAAGGTCATTTGCAGGTTTGGTTCGGTGGTGAATGCTTGGAAGGCATACCTCTCCCTTGAGACAGGTGGCAGCGAACATGTCTGGAGTGAAGAAATGGGAACCAGCGAGTCTCGGTTCACGTGCTGCGTCCGGTCCTGTCAGGTAGCTGTCAAGGTCACCTTGCTGAACTTCATGATCACGCAGGCTGGTATGCTACAGCCGCGTCACGGCCTTTCAGTTGCTAGCGCTGCTGGTGTATGCAAATGCTGGGGGCTTTTGGCAAGCTCTCCGCAGGTTGGACTGCAAGATCAACTGCTCAACATTGTAGTTGAAAAGGCAAGCACCGGACCCGTGAAATTGAGAGCTGTTTGTGGCTCATTCTGGTTTGGCATGAGTCCAGCAAATTCTCCGAAGAAAGCGGAGTCCAAACGCCATGTACCGCACTGTAAAGCATCAACAGAAGAAGAAGCGGCAGTTTCCATGAAGTTCCTGTCATATTGCTGTCAAGCTCTTGTGAACCAGCAAACAACATTCAGAGATCCATACATTTCTAAGTGTTTAACCTATACTGACATGTGTTTCATTCTGAACACCTGGGTTCTCTTCACATTGCGCTGCGGGAGCAGCCTCAGGAGCGTCCGGACCTGGCGGAGGAGAAGGCCTTTTTGGATGATACGGCGACCACCGAGAAAGGAACGGGGAGAATCTTTTGGACGCATCATAGCTCACGCTATTCACTTGGTTCTAGAGTTTTTTGGGAAACTTTACAAGTGCGTAACCATTGACCCCATGATTTCATGACCCATCCATGGTGGCGAAACTCTGACAGTTGTATGGATGGTTTGGGGATGTGGGTTTTCCGGTCGAGAACATCGATTCTAAGGCGACAGTTGGAGTGTCAGGATGTTCGAGGATGGCTCCTGTGATCCTGGGATCGAAGAGGAATCCAAGAGCCACATTGAAGTCATCTCATTGTTTGAACCAAGAAGAATCAACATAGGCCAACGTCAGAGGCTGCAGCCCATTTGTAGAATTATGCCTGTCAAGTCAAACCAAACACCCTCCAATTCTGTGTTCCTCCTGCTTTTGCTTTTTCTCATCAAACACCTGGGAAACGCCAAGAAGGTTGCCAAAAAAGCATCAAAGACAAAAGCCTTGGAGCCCATGCTGTGCCCTGTTTGATTGACATTGGACCGGCTGGAGGGTCTGATCCATCTCGCAGGTGCCGAGAACAAGGAGCAATTGGAACTCACTGAGAATAAGATCCTGGATGCTGCCTGGCGCAAGACTTTTTGGGTTGAAGATGAAGTGGGAAGAAAATGATGCATCATTGCAGGGACGTGCCACTGGCATTGACCCACAACCAAATGGCTTGGTCTCAGAGACTTAGCACCCACAGAAAGATAGAAACCCTCAAAAAGGACCTAATAGCGATGGCCTCCAACCTACGAGCGATGACCTCCTGGTATCAAAGATCTTTCATTTTGCAACAAACCCAATTCATTTGGCGTTCCGTTTGCAGACAGAGAAGCATAGCGCATGATGGTATGATGGGGCATACTGACCATACTCAACCTCGGACTGGGTCAATGGGTGTACTGAACCTTTGACTCCAAGTAGGACCTCAGCCTTTTGACAGGTGCTGAGCTCATCTCAAGGAAACATTTTGGAGGATGAGGCAGCCGTTCAGGCTGGGGAGACGTTCTGGATTTTCTGGGACGTTGGGGAGCTTTGGAACATCTTGTTGTTTGGAACTATGATTTCGTCACGTTGCCATGCTGCTCACGCTGGCCAGGTGCTATCCGCCTCCAAGCAGCTTTCCAACGAAATCGCTGGGGGCGCTCAAGGTCACAGATGTCACAGAACTTCGAAACATTTCGGCGTTTTGGGGCCCAGCATGTTAGAACTCGGATAAACCGAAATAAGAAGTGTAGGTTGGAGGCCATGGCTATGGCTATTAGCAACAAGCAAGAAATACTGCAGGATGTTCTTATAGGTCTCATTCCCATCGGTCTCATTTTCAGCGAGCCCACGGAAGGCACCCTCAACGGAAGACCCAAGGCCCAGAAGCAGCAGACCGCTGAGACCACGGAGCGTCAGATTGATGAAGCGCGACTCCAATATGTTCCGGTGGCGTTGGGCACTCAGCATATGCCCTTTGTCACTTCATAGCGTATGACCTTTGGTATCCTTTTAGCGTATGACTTGAACTTCTTGCAAAGGCCCAAGTCTGCCCCTTTTTATCCTTTTTCCTCCATGATCACTATTTTCTGCTGGTATGAATTCTACAGTCAGTGGCAGGTTCCAGACAGCAATCCTCTTCTTCTGCATTGCCGACTTGGCCAACATCGTCCCCAAGCCCAGATTGCGCCCTTGTGGCTGTTTTCTGTAAGCATTCCAAAAAGGAAGGACACTCGGTGACTCGGTGTTCCTCTAAGGATCCGATGTACCAATACTCCTTGCCCTTCTTTATCAACCTCTTCAGAGCAGCGATTTCGAAGTCCGAGAAAACCGACGACATTGCCGGGGCGCTCAGTTCGGTCTTCAGGGGAAACAGCGCTCAGTTTGGTCTCTTGCCAAGGTGCTTGCAGTTGCAGTCAGAGTGATTTCTGGTTCGAGTGCCTTTTTGCATCGCAGAGAGATTTAGCAACCCCCTGATCCAAGGGCATGCGCATTTTGATCCTCAACGACTTCTTCATGGACCCATTGCTTTTGACAGATGATGGTAGCTGGGTTTTCTGCAATACCTTTCATTTCCCACCTTTCTCTGTCAAGAGTTTGCTAGGCTTCTAGGCACAGTCAGACAGGGAATTGGCTGTGGAGAGCCTGAGGTGTTTCACATAGATACATATATATATATATATATTTGTATTTTGGTTTAATTTTGGTTTAAGTTTGTGTAAATGTTTATTTCCCTTTGCAAAGTTGTTGACCTGTTACTTCAGGACATGCTGTACAAGAACATTTGTCGCTCGCTCTTTGAGAAGCACAAGCTCCTTTTCTCTTTCTTGCTGACCATGCGCTTGCGCATCACCACCGGCAAGGCCGCTCCATGAGTCGACGTTTCGAAGTGACTTTTCTTCAACGACAGTTTAGTGCACTGTGTGCTTCAAGCATGTTGGGTTGCTGGACAGGAAGATACAGGAAGTGAAATATCAAACTAACAGACTGACACCATGTCACCAAGTTCCACTCCAAGCCCATGGTCATCCTCTACAAACTGTCCTGATGCTCCTTGGTCCCCCCCGGTCCCCCCCCAAAAAAAAACAAACAAGCACCGCGTGCCCCAAAAACCCAGCGCGCACCAGCAGCGCACCGTGCAGGTGTCCATGTCCGACTACCGCTTCTTGCTGACCGGTGGCACCGCCATGGAGGAGCCACCCGCCAAGCCAGACGACTGGATTCCTGACAGGCGAGGTCGGTGATCGGGCCGCTGGTGATCGGAGGTCGGTGGATGCATGGCGTTTGGTTTGAACACCCTTGGTTTTCGGTAATTGGCGAAGCTCATTGCTGTGATGTTTTAACTTGCTATTGTTTGCCCCACAGATCCATCTTGGCACATCCTCACATGCTGAAGTATATATGTTGGCATCCTCCACCCAAGCCCACTAGAGCTAGATATCTTGAACACAACAAGAAATAGATGATAATTCATTGATGTTGCACTTATACTTATGCAGTAGATATACTGCTGGAATTGACCTGCTTGGTTCTTTGGACAGCTCATGGCTTGCCGATCAGATGCTGGCTGGAGATTTTCAAGCTCAGCAAGCTGGATGAGATCTACACCCCGCTTCCGGAGATGGGGTTGGGCCTGTTCGGGAGAGAGGAAGGTAAGGTTTTATTCACTTGGTTTTATTTTGGGGCAGGGCTGGGGTGAAGAAGGTACAGGTTTTGTATCATGTTCCATCGGTAGGAGGTTTTCGTGCGAGAGTTTTTTCTTTTTGTTCTCCATGATGGAGGAAGCATGCTGGGCAAGAGGAGCCGGATTGCCGGATAATACGTTTTTAAAGGTTCTGGCCGCTGCTTGACCCACAGTTGGATGATCCAGATGCCGAAGATGAAGGCTTCAATTGGCCAGTGTAGGATAGACCGGATGGATTACCCCGCTTGAAGAAACCTACCAATGGGATGCTCAACAAAAGGGGGGCACAATGATGCACAATGCAGACTTTGTCTTAGCTGCTTAGCTTGAAGACTAGGAGATCTACCCCCAAAGGATATCGTAAACGTTTGATGTGTGTGTTGACCCATTTAAGCCCAAGATGGTCTTTGCAGGTTTCGCTTGTCGAGGCAGCGACTGCCTGGGGCCGCATAAAAAGCCTTTGACCAATTTCCCCTATAGAAATGGAAATCCTCGCCTTGGTCAAAGAGATCTCAGCATCAATGATTTAGCCTGATGTTTTGGAGATGTTTCATGTGGACACCATTTGGTCCAAGTCTACCAAGCAATCCCCCCCTCCGCCAGGCGCGATTACCTCAGAGAAAACCCACGAACAACTTTAATTTGGGTCTTGAGCTACATTTCATGGGCATATGATTCATGATACGCATACATATAGATATGGATGGATATGGATATATGGATATATGGATATGGATATGGAGTGATGGATAAATTAGATAGATCATATTATAGTGGTTTGGCCTTGCAGGAGAGCTTCACGAATGAGTTGAAGAGATGGAAGGAGGTCTATGATTCCAGCGATCCCATGAGGCCGTCCACATCTCCATCCCCCGTCCAACACCTCCACCTCCCTTCTTCGGTCGGATTGTCCGGATGGTCGCCATGGCGCAGAAGACAACGTCTTTTTGTTTGGAAGGTAGAGAAAAAGCTACAGACTGAGGGCAGACAGTCTCTTGAGAGCTTCTTGGGCGAAAGAGTCGCAGGCTTTCTCCCACTGCACCAGAGTGCCATGGCAGGTGCTTGGAGAATCTCCGAAACGCTCCAGAGGGTGTGAAAGGCACGCTTGTCAGCAAACTACCATTGGCGCCAACAGAACCATTGGCTTTATTCTAAAGCACGCTGATTTGATTTGATTTGCAGGTCTCACGCAATTTCAGAAGCTTCTGGTGTTGAGGTGGGTTTCGGAGTCGCGTTTTGATTCCGCTGTTACACTGATCACACTGATCCTTCGCCGCTGTTCCGCCTCCCCACAACTGGTGCGGCCGGAAGGTGTGTGCGGCCGGATCGTGTCCTGCCAGCAGTGCTGACTTATGTGACGGCAGAGGCGTGGTGCAGCCGGAATCAGCTGGAAACACCCCAGAATGCTCCCAATCTGCAGCTGTGAGGGAAGAACAGGTGGACCGGAAGATTGGGAGAATATGGAGAGATTGTGTGCAGATGTGTGCAGAATGTTTGCGTCCTAAGCTACAGCAGGCATCCAAGTTCAATCAAATCCATATAATAGGAATTCATCACATCTTAAAACCCTCCTGCTTGTGGTCGCTTTTTGTTCCTAGTAGTATGCCAGGAGCTACTAGTAGCTTCTGATGCTTGTGGTCTGAACTCGCTTGCTGTGAGGTGCCACGACCCAATCCCCCCCCAAACCCACCGGTGCCCACCGGGGCCCACGCCTCGGGCCGAAGCCCGGTCAGATCGGCGAGAAGTTTGTGACGCCTCCGCCCTTCGACATTGCTGGAAGCTCCTTGGCAGGGCGAGCGTGCGAGAGAGTAGCAGAGTAGCGGCGCGCGAGAGTAGCTGGATGTTGTCGAGCAGAAAAAAGAAGACAGAATACCCCAAAGGTATCCCCACAACAAAACCACCAGGGATGGGCAGGGTAGTCTGGTGGAAAAAGAACAATTCCCTAAATCTTTCTTAGTCCGGGACTTTATGCCCTCGCACGGATCCCTTGTGGTCACGTGTGGGGACCATGCTGCTTTTGTTTGGTTATTTTTTATATATTTTTATTGTCTTTTTTTTGTTTCTGGATTGATACACAGACTCTTGAGGGACGGGAATCTGCTGAACCTGAACCTGCAGCATTTTGTTTCTGAACCGGGCCATTTCGGGTGAACACATCAGCCATGCCACCCCGAGATGCCATCCCCTTCTACCACTACACAAGTGACAAAGGTGTGGAAGGAATCCTGAAGGATGGCAGGATTGACATCTCAGACCCTCGAAGGGGAGATGCGTTTGAAGGCCCAGGCACGTACGGGACGAAGTACCCACCATCGACCCGCACATCAACCATCGCTCGTAACAATTGGGACGATGGATGGAAACACGCGATGGAACATGGCAAGATGAAAAACTATGTCCGATGCGAAGTGCCACGTGAAGAGTTGAAGGAATGTCGTGGTCATGGAGGGCGCAAGGATGGTATTCTTGTCCATCCAGGTGGCATCGATCTCAGCAAATATCCCACCAAGTTTGGAAGAGTGGGAGAGCACAAGGTTTCAAAGGCTTTTCCATATGACCCTGAAGCCATTCGGAAGGCCATGTATCCTGACGTCCCAGCCCAGACCAAATTGTGCAGCCAGACCAAAGCAGTGAGAGTTGGAACACAGCAAGTCAAGCAGGTCAGCAGAGAACCTCTCAACAATCGGTCAGCCCAAACCAGCAAACTCCCCAGTCAAAATGAGAGGTATGGTAGCAGGATTGTAGCGCCTCCATACCCTGACACCAAAGCAACATGGGGGAACAGCTGTGGCCACAGTGATGATGAACCACACCACAGTGGACACAACTCTGCAGGTAACTACTATGAGGCCTTTGCAGATGGGTCATACCGCTATGAAAACTTGGACGGCTCCACTTATGAATGTGATGGAAGTGGTCGTGCAGTGTTCACAGCGCCAGACGGCGGGGTGACTGATTACTCCTGGCCCGGTGATGGACAAGCGGACAGTGGTGATGAAACTTATGGTGACAGCTATGGCTGCGATGATTATGGAGGCGACGATGGCTGGGATTGTGGAGATGACGGTGGCTACGATGACGATGATTATGATGAGTGGTGATGCAAAGTACTCAAGTTTAGTGCTTCCCACCCGAAATATGTCAATGTACAGTCTAGTGCATTTTAGATCATTTAGTCTCTATCGCTGCTGTGTGAGTGGCATTCATTTCCGCACAGTTCAATTCATGGGCTTGGGAACAGTCTGGAATGACAACCAGCTTGTTTTCACCAACAAAGGATTTGGTGAAGGGGTTTGCATGCTTAGTTTGGGCTGAGCATTGTTAGATGCCTATGGAGCAGATTTCCCTCACAGAAAGACTTTTAGACACAACCATCTTTTGTGACAGCAACACAACATTCACCATGTGAGATGGCCATCCAATTGAAAGAAGAGTGCTACCTGCTGTGGTACTCGCGCCACTGAGGTTATGCAGATTCTTCCAATACATCGCCATTGATTTTCATCCTTTCGCCTGGGTGTCCTTCTTAGCGTTGTTGTGCTTGTTTTGAGCCGAGGAAACAGGACCTGAGGCAATTCATCAAATGTTTCGCAGTGGAATGGCAAGCTCAACATGTGAACAGGGTGTGGTGAGTGTGTTTCTCATCAGCTTTTGTCGATGTCAGGTCAGATCCATCTTCTGCTCTCTATATGTTCGCGACAGACAAGGCAGCTGGTCTTGAGCAAAAGCAGTGTATTGTGTAGTGACTTGCCTCACGACAGGTGGGGCCTTGTAAATAGGTAAATGGGGTGAGAAATCGGGCATTGCCTTAGCGAGGGTTGGTACAGCAGGGATGAAACATGACCAAAAGAACAGTGTTTTTGTTTTTTGCTGTATGACATGACGATCTCACGCAATCTCGTTGCTTGCTTTCTCCCCGATCTTGGAGAGAATCCAGATTCACATGTGAATGGCTCGATCGTTCCCAATGTTGGGACAGAATGACTTTCTCGAGTGCTGTTTGAAAGAACCGCTGTCAGGGGAGGGAGATCAACAGCCTTTCTCTAGGCCTCGGCAGGGTGTGGGGCTTTGGGGTGGGTCCATAAGCAATGCATGGGAGTTCTTCTGTTCTGGAGCCATACTCAACATGTGGGCTGGGAATGCTTTGTATTTTCTTCAGGTGTTCCATACCCATATGAATATACCCATGTCCATGTGTGGATGTTCCCCTTTTGGATTTGAACATTCAATAACGGATTGTTAAATTCACCCAACTGCTCAGCAGAACAGCCTGCACTACCAAAACAACATATATAAAAAATATATATAATATATATATATATATCTCTTACCATCACCGTTTGTGACCTGTTCCTTTGACCTCCCAAACAAACACCAGTCCGTCCGCCCCACCGCGCCAGGTCAGGGCCAGGGCCCCAAGGCGGAACGGCTCCTCAGCGATGCGACCGAGTCGGGCAGCTGGGTCCGGACACCGAGGGACGCGGAGGGGGACGGCCGGTGGAGGGAGTCGATGGGGTCGTTTTTTGTCATCTGTAGCCATGTGATGTGCATAAACACATCCTTTTTGGAGAAATCCTTTAGGATTAGGAAGGAGCGGGACTGGCTTTCTAAGACAACACAGAAGCCTGCTTCCACTGCGCAGAACATGAGGTCCTGCTGCAAAATTGTCACCTCTTTGCATCTTGGATGCCAAAGTTGGACAAGATCCTCGAGCAGATGGACCCGAAGCAGACCAACTCCGATTTCAGGCGTTTAAACTGCAGGAGAGAAAGGAAGACGATGGAATTTGCAGACTAGTCACTATTTTGTTTTCTCTTGAATGTCCCTTTTATAAAGGCATTTTTTGGTTGGCATATTTTGTTTGCATGTTCATGTTTTGTTTGGTTCTGCCATGTGCTTTGATGGATAGTTCAAACGCATGCCAGGCTGTGGTTGACGTCCTATCCATCTGACAAGTTTCCTGCGAGCCACCCAGCGTTTTCAAAGGTGTCTTTGCAACCAAAACTGCACCCTTTGCTCCTAGTAGCGTTCTTGTTCCTAGTAGCGATGCCCTTTGCTCCTAGTAGCGTCCTTGCTCCAAGTAGCCCTAGTAGCGTGATTGCTACTAGCCTTGGAACAGAACTTGAAGACCGGACAGTGAGTGTGGTGCTGTTTTTTTGCAAGGTGTCAATTCTGCAGAACAGCGTGTTGGCCTCAAGAGTGAATCTGACGTCCCACATGACATTCACCGCCTCTTTAGTCTTGATATGTCTGGTCTGGACTCTTGTTCATTGTCGGAGGTAGAGGATTTTGTTGGATGTAGAGGTATATCAGGGTTGACAATAGTTGTACTACACATATTGTTATTGCTTGGTCAGTTGCAAGTCCTGTTTTACATGGAAACTGGTATGCATTCGTGATCTTCGTGCCCAGGTGAAGATCACCAATGAGGCACCACAAGGCTTGCGGATGAACCTGGTCGGCTCCTACCTCATGGCTGGGCTCCCAGCGAACGCATGGACCCGCCGTGGACGGCGAGGCGTGGAGCGTCCTTTTTGCGTCCTGTTTTGCGGCTGAGGATCCCATCAGCAATGAGGAGTTCTTTGAAGGGTGTAAGAATCCGCAGGTCTTGGACTCAGCATGGAGAGGAGATTCAGCATGGATTCAACAAGTGTAAAAGTGGTCAGTTTTTTTGGTCAATGACATACAATAAAAAATACACCAGCATAGACCCCAGATAGCTAGGAAAATCCAACTTTGGCCATCATTCACTCAAAAGGGAACACATGGCCTTCTATACCCGGTGTTCCAACTATATACTTTGCTTCGCGACGAAGGCAATGAGACAGACCGTTTTTGCTGAATCCTTTAAGCACAACGCTTGTGGATTCTAGTGCTAGGCATGTTTACTCCTTTGTTGGAGAGTTGCTGCCTCCAAATGCAGCCAAATGCACCGATCAAATCAAATCCGGCCTTGCACCAGCACCCAGCACTCCGCTCCGGCACCAGCACCGACACCTTGTCTGGAAAGCGCGCACAGCCAGCTCATTCCTATTTGTGCTATTTGAAGTAAGAATGCCATAGCTATCGCTACTTTAAGGAGAAACATGTGCCAACCATTCTTTCATAGGAACACATATCGGAATACGTGAAAACATGACCTCTGTTCACTTTCACTTCTCGGGCGCAAAGGCAGTCCACGTCGCTGTCCAACGTCCTCGTCGCTCGTCGCTTCACCCAGGCCTTCAAACGGCTGCTGTTTGCCTTGTGCTTCTTCCACGCGGTCATTCAGGAGCCAAAGACGGACCCGTGATCCTTCCATCCGAACGGTGTGCACGTCCCGTCGCATTGGAACGATGGTGGCTCCAAAACGGCCCCGCTGGGCCCCCGATGAAGCGTATTCCAAGAACGGTGGGGCATCGACCCATTCAGACCATCCATGGGATTTCAATACTTCCATATGACAGTGGGGTCATGTTCATGGGGGTAAATGATGGGTAAATGATCCGTCAATGAGGGGTAAATACATGATATGATATGATTATGTACAACCTGTGTAATGCTATTATAGTTGACTATGTATTTTTTTGTATATAAATTAAATATATCATTTATTACGAAAGCCAGCCGATAGGCTAGGCTTGAGCTTTTAGACCGAACGAAGTGAGTTGAGGGGGTGTTGGGGGGGGGTAGGAGGCGAAAAGGCACCATTTGAGAGGGTGAACCCGGAGCTTGCCTGGGGAGAGCGCTCCAAAGCGCGGGTCAGAAAAGCAATGAAAATGGGGTTTGGTGATGCGAGTGATGCAATGGACGCCGAGTAGTGCATCATTAGCATCACGAAGGGCTGTGGAGGCTATGTGGACAATGGTTTCTTCTTTTGACCCTCTCGTTTGGCGGCTGCGGGCTTTCGTTCCCCCCTTCTCAGGCTTATAAACTCTTCCAGTTTGATGGATTCGTTGGGCCATATCGCCTGAGCTTCGTCTCTGAATCGACCCCCTTTTTCGGCCTTTTCAGGAGCGTCGGCTCTTCGGCCCGCTGGGTGCCGGCACCTGTGGGAGCGGATGGACATGGTGTGGTTCTGCATCCTGGGATTCTGGTGTGTGATCAAAAGAGAAAGGATCACCAAACTGATGGAAGTATAAAGACTATCTGGTGGAGAGAATTTAAGTAGACCATGTTTCGAGAGAGACCAGTGAAGGCTGGGTTTCTTGAAAAAATTCTCAACTTGTTGGGACGTTTGTTCTGGAGCCAGACAGTTGCCCGAGTACCAGCTTGGCAGTGCGGCACTGGCAATTGTGTGAGATGATTTGATTGGTGTGTGCAGTGCATGTGCTGCTGAGGGTGGAACATACCCTACGAGTTCACGCAGAATGCTTTGGGCTTAGATGGTATCGTAGTGAGCAACTACACGTCGGATCATTCTCAGCTTCGACTTAGATCACATCCACAACCAGAAATGTCCTCAGTTAAATATGTGAGATGTGAGATGTGGCGCGGACTATGGATGTTTCATGAATCTCAAACTGAATGGCCTCCCCAAGAAGTCTAGAACGATCCCTGACAACCTCGGACCACGCAAAATAGGGCGCATGTTCTTTCTCCATGCAGGATCTGAGCCCCCCTGGGCTGCTCCCTCTCAGGACCTGAGGATCTCCGCCCGGCAGCTGCAGATGTTCATCGATGAGTCCCCGGAGCAGATCCAATTCAAGGCCACGAGGGAGCTGGCGGCCTGTGTGGCGGGAAGAACGGGTGTTTTTTGTTTTTCATAGGTCGAAATCAGAGGGAATGCAATGGGTTGGTGGTATGATATGTTCACGAAACGAAACCTGAAGAACGCCCCAAGTTGGTTCGTTGGGAGGCCATTGGACCAATGGGCCATCCCAAGCAGTTGGTTTTGGCATGCTTCGGCCTGTGCGAGGGCTTTGAGATGTGTTGCTCCACGTCACAGAGTTGAAAGACCGTTGTGGTTTGCCCTCCCAAAGCAGAACACATGGATATCCACCAAGCAAGACCCCGGCGGTCAGTTTCTGTGATTTGCAAGCGTTTTGGTGGATATATATATATATAATCAATGTTTCATGATATTTTACTTTTTTTACTCAACACACCATAGCAGCCCATGACAACACCCGGAGGGGAGCTGCAAACGGATGGTCCCCAAAGTCACCGTCTTCGAAGTGGGCCAAGTGCGCAATCGATACGTATCGTGTCCGTGTCCTTCAGGCGATCAACTACTTGGCGGGCGAGTGCAACTACGGAGGGCGGGTGACAGAAGCGCAGGAGCCGTCTTGCCTTTTGGTGAAAGTCTTGAGCTTGAGATAGCTTGAGACTCCATGTCCTTCCTCTATCAACTGTAGACTCTATGCTTGAAATGTTGTAGTTAGATGAGATGTAGTTAGATGTTGCTAGATTGTTCGTGCGATTTGATGGTCTCTGTGCGTGCGTGCGTGTGTGAGTGTGTGTGTTCCTCTGAGTGGCGTCGAAGCAAAGGTTTTCATTCCAGACCTTTTGGCAACAGGATCGCCGATTGTTGATGACCCTTTTGCTGGACTACTACAATCCAGAAGTCCTCAAACCAGGCCTCAAAGGGGATGTGCGCGTAGAAGGGTAGTGGTTGAAGCCCACAAGTGCGGTTGAAGCATCAAAGACATGTCATGAAACACTGAAGATTGAAGCTGAATTGAAAGACCATGAGTGGACGTGTCTTAAAGTGATAAAACCCATGGAATTCAACTCTCTTCCGCACCCAAAAGTGCTTGATTTGAGACAGACTGGTGGGGTTCAACATCGGCTTTCACTCTTGGATTGCTTCTATGTTGCTGTACATGTTTCTTCAGTCCATGTTCCCATGGTTTTGGGTGTTTTGCATCTTTCAGACCACACCTCAGAGTTTTCATTCGCAGGCCACAGCCTATGTGTGGAGCATCCCGAGTTCACAGTGCCTCCAGCTGCTTCATTGGAGGACGCTGGTTCGTTTGGTCGTTTCTGTAGAGATCCCGCGAGCTGTTGGAACATTCTTTACCCAACCCTAACCCAAGACACATAATCAAACATGTGTGTATTGGCAGGTCTTCTAGGGATTCTTCTGACTCCAAGCAACGGTTGCGATGCCAGGACACCTTGGAGATGATCCGGCAGACGCCCATAGTGACACCACCGGGCATCTATGGACCGCCACAAGTTGTCTTGCTGCTCTTTTGGATGAGTTTTGTGACCCAAGATGCGATTTTTTGCTGTAAGACGTCGTGGAAAACCACACTGAAACAACTTTCGCACATCAATTGGGTTGCAAACGGTTCAACACATGTTCCATCACTCAATCTTTATGTTTGAATCAATTGGATTGACCAAATAGCCATACCCGAGGGGCTTGTGTTCGCAAGCCGTCCAAGCCGTCCATGTTGAACCCCTCAGGGTATCTGCCATGCCAGCAAAACCAATTTGCAGGGCTTCTTAGTAGCGTCCTTGCTCCTAGTAGTAAGGCCAGGAGCCCCTAGTAGCTCCCTTGCTCCTAGTAGCGATGCCCTTTGCTCCTAGTAGCTCCCTTGCTCCTACCAGCCCACAATCCAGATGGACAACCAACAGTCTCAAGCAGTCAAGATCGAACATTCAAGGTGAACCCACGGTAGAGCAACGCTTCTACAGCAAACAACAATTTGTAGAACCTAAAGACATGAACACAAGCAGCTTTACAACAGTTGAAAAGGCAAGGCAGATGTCAATTCTAAAAAGTAGAGGTATGTGAATATGTGTAATTAAGTTTTATTTGCCTTTCTTTGTAACCGTTTCTACTTTTTGTACAGAAAATAAGATACAGGTGACATAAGTTCAGTTAACCCGAGAACATGCAAAACTTGTTGAACTATCATTGTGTTTGTTATAGGTAGTATACGATATTAAATGTATGTTACAACAACCCCCAAAAGTAATTTTGTGAGCTCCATATCCCCAAACCACACTACCAAGTACCCACCATTTGGGTTCACGACATGTGTGTCGGAAGCAGCGTGTACCCTACGATTCCAACCACCATCATCAGCGCGTGGGGTGAGCTGATCTGAGCGATGGGGGCTCCCAAATCGAAGAAGCCCAGCAAACCCTTTGTTACTAGTAGCTTCTTGTTACTAGTAGTAATGCCAGGAGCTACTACTAGCTTCTTGCTCCTAGTAGCGATGTCCTTTGTTCCTAGTACCTTCTTGCTACTAGTAGCGATCGCCTCCAACCTAGTAAACATGAGTTTGCGGGAGTTCCTTTGGGAGTCGCTTCATGCAGTTTCAGATAGCATGACTGATTCTGATGCTGAAAATTGTCTTCACAGCGATTAGCGGGCGTGGAGCGTTGGTTGGAATTTTGTGGCTATACAGCTCATGCAAAACATGGTGATTGTTTTTGCGGACACCAAACACTAGAAAATTGCCAAGAATCATCAAGAATCATTGAAATTTTCACTATATAATTAAATAATTGTTTTGTTTGACCTACTAGCGTGTCACGGCATCCAACAGCGTGATTGCAGGATTTCATACCAATGCAAATCTGACCCGTGAGCAGAATGAGACCTACGCTGCTTGGCAGTGTCGTTGTGTGCGGCGAAACATCTTTTGTACGATTTGTGTGAGGCGATGATGGAGAACTTGCTTCTGACGGTCGGGCAGGCCCATTCTGGCGGGTCCCATCTTCGCTGATCCCGGTCGCAGCAAGGCTTCAGCAAAGTTCAAGATTTTCCTAGGTCTTTTGGCGCACTTAGCGCAAGAATCCCGCCACCTTCCTCAATGGTCAACTGCAACAACAAATGAAACCCGCTGAAAGCAGCATGCAGGCCTCAGGCAGTGGTGGAACTTCCCCCGAAGAGACTGTGGGTGAGGCCGGGTGATGAAATTTCACATTCAATGACAAGATGCCCACAAAAAGGTTTTTGCTGTTGTCTTTTTCCAATGTCGCTTCACAGATATGATGAACGCATTCTCATTCCTTCAGCACAACAGGCGGCGACTGACATCCTGCGGCGGATGCCAGAGCAGTTTGATTTGGTCGAAGTCCAAAAGAGGTGCGAGTTTTTTTGTCGAAGCTGCATGGCTAAGTCGTGATGGGCTATGTTTGGTGATGTTTTTGCGCAGATTCAGATCCTCGATTTCGCAGTGTGACGTCCCATAGCTCACGTCGATTGGAAGCTGCGCGTGTCCGAAATGCAGCAGCTTGCCAGGTATCCCACGATGTACGAGGAATCCATGAATACTGTGCTGGTACAGGCAGATCCCCGGTTTGAGACTGTGTTAAAACTTGAAACAGGTTGTTTGGAGGGTTCCCGTTTTTTGGGGCAGTTCCTGTTTAGATGGGCAGTCAGATGTGTGGCAGAGTGGAAACCTAGCAGAAGATGGAGGGCTGTTTCGGTTCACTCCTCCTCCGCGCGACCGCGACCGCTGTGGAACCCAGCAGGAACTGACCCGCTTCAACAGCCTCACCCGGGTCATTGGGGCGACCCTGAAGGTGGGATTGCCGTTCACTTTGTTGGTGCAAAGACCCTAGAATCGGGTGGCTAGAGCAAGGATGGCAACAGACCAGCGCATCTAAATCTAGGTCTTCATGATCTTGACAATTTGTCATCAGGGTTTTCACCCGTGGTTGTTCGCACCATTTCGGTCGCAAGGACATCCAAAAAGCCATTCAGGGGTTGCTCTTGATGAGTCCGTGCCTCAGCCCTTTTCCTTCGCAAAGCCCATCCCTTTTGCGTTTCCTTTGGGCGCCTCGCCCGGTCGGCGTTCGCTTCGCCTTGCCTTCTCTCGGTCGTAACGAGGTCCAGATCTGGAGCAAGTCTTCCTGTCGATCTTTAACGGCAAAACGTGCCTTGGGCGAAGGTTAGAGCCGTCTCCGTGCCAGGTCCAACGTTAGGGTTTAGAAGAGTTTTTTCGGAATAGCAACGGACGTGCTTTCGGTACCCGTGAGACGCCGTGAGATATCAACCTACTATGATAACCCTAATATAACCTATTATGTATCCGTTTGAGGTGAGTATAGTAGACAATTGCTGTTTGGGAATATGGATGGACTGACTGTTGGCGAAGCGCCAGACAGGCCTGCTTTGTGGTTGGCCAACAGCTACCCTTCGCTGAAACCACTTGGTGGCTATACTAACGTGGTAGCCTCAATGGAAAGTCAACAGAAGCGAAACAAGACAAACTTGTATAAGAGCGTGCCACAGGTTGTTGACGCAGTGACAGGTTACATCATATATTATATATATGAGATCGGTGGAGATCATTGCAGTTCACAAGGAAAAACAGGTCCTTAGATGTCCTTAGGCTTTAGGACAAGGCGCTGCTCGACTGTCCTTCTAAGGACTTGATCGAACGGTTGAAGTTCTTCCAGGCACTGAAGATACATGGTAGCCTGCAGTATCATGTCAGATCATGTTAGTATCCTTGTAACTCACAGAGCCATACTTCACAACAGAATCGATGGGGTACCATGCGCAGCTCACCCTCAGCATACAAAACCTACTCCAAACCCTAAGTTGTTCCAAGCTGTAAACTTGGCTTGCTTCTTTGGTCCTATGCAGCGTCAACAGCAAAGCTTCCAGGCCTGGATCGACCATGGGATTCCGGTCACCTTCTGGCTGAGTGGCATCTACTTTACTCAGGCGGAACAAAAGATGCACCGATCGATCGGCGTTTTGGAGCGAGGTGATGCCTGGATCGATCCGTTGTGGCTGCGTTGTGGCTGCTCCGTTTGTCACACTCTTTGGCCCTCAGGCATTTACCACAGGTGCTGCGCAAAACTTTGCCCGCAAGTGGACAACTTAGCTCACTGCAAGCTTTTGCACTGCACCTGAAGCGCAGTGTGAAACAGTCAGCCACTGCGTGATTAAGACCTCCCAAGGTGGGCCATTCCCATTGACACCTTGGTCTTTGACTTCGACATGCCGCCCGCGCGGAGCCAAGACCCATCGCCACTGGCCTTGCCGGCCGCGCCACGGATGTTTTGCCGCGTTCCCCGTTCCGAGGATCAGCAGCCCAGCAAGAAGCCGGAGAACGGGGTCTACTGCTATGGGCTTTTCTTGGAGGGCTGCAAGTGGGATTGGGCACAGTCCGGCTACCCAGGTCAGGGCATAGCCCCTGCCGAGCGAAATTACTTTGAGGTGACCGTCTCGTCTCCAAATATTTTTTTTGAAATAATATCAATAAAGTATTATTTGGAAAGGCATGTAGGTGGTGGGTCAAAATAATATCTACCATGTAGAAAAAACAAGATGGAGCCCACGAACCCGAATGCAAACACGTTCGAAAAGCTACATATGTCCAAATGACGCTCTTGTAGGACACTCTTGTGGGACACTCTTGTAGGAAACTCTTGTGGGACACTCTTGTAGGAAGCTCTTGTGGGACGCTCTTGTAGGACACTCTTGTGGGACACTGTTGCGGGACACTCTTGTGGGACACTCTTAAGGGACACTCTTGTGAGACACTCTTGCGGGACACTGTTGCGGGACACTCTTGTGGGACACTCTTGTAGGACACTCTTGTGGGACACTCCTGTGGCTAACTCATTTGGGACACTCTTGTGGGACACTCTTGTGGGACACTCTTGCAGGACACTCTTGTGGGACAC